ATACTTATGGTGAAGGAGGGTGGCATTCGCAACGGACAACTTGGCTGCAATATCAACACAGCCAACATCATAGCGGCCATGTTCATAAGTTGCGGTCAGGACGCCGCAAGCGTGGCGGAGAGAAGCTGGAGTCAGCTGACGCCCGAGTACGATTGGACTACGAAAGACTTGAGATTGTCCCTGTTCTTCCCGTCGCTTCCCGTGGGGGTAGTAGGTGGGGGGACGTATTGTGCAGCGCAGCAAGAGTCCTTACAGCTCCTCGACTGTCAGGGACCTGGCGGAAAGAGACGTCTTGCTGGGCTAATCGGAGCATTTGCTCTTGCGTTAGATGTGATTGCCATTGCGGCCATTGCCAACAACACCTTCACAAAGAGTCATGCGGCCCTGGCAAGAGGAGGGACTCGGATTTCGAACTGCGTCCTCACAAGCCCTAAGCTTTGATTGAGACGTAACTGGTGTAGGGCGGCTGCTCATGATTGACGTGTTCTCTGAGCTTGAGATTCGTTCTTCTTCCTTACAGTTCAGATTTTGTCAAAAAGATCGCAGCTCCGGTCTGACTACTTGAGCTGCATGGTCTAAGTTACCATTCTCTGACAGAGTTGAGCGATTGATGGATGAGGCGGTGGTATATCAGTACGATAGGAAGGGGATTGTGATATGACGGATCGTCGGAGTCTGTTTTTACTGATATATACTAAATGCTATGATCTGCTCCTCTCTAGGCACCGTTACTGCTTATGCCGGCATGGTATATACCAGGGGGCTGCACGAGGCTCCACGGCATGTCAAGGTGCGAAGCATGGAGTACACCGACAACCAGCGTAGCCGGTCGGAGAAACGCCGCGCTGGCTGTCGCAGAATAGGGTATTGCTGAAACGAATGCAGAATTGGGCGAAATCGGGCTTCTAATATCTGCTTGACGAATCGCGTTGCGAGTGCTGATGGGATCCATGTTGTTCTTTTTGGCCAGTTTCCTTAGGTCGATGACTTGCGTAATCAAGCATTGATCTGCCATTCAGACTTGCGTTGTGCATCAAATGAAGAGAGACAGCTGCGCTTACAGAAGTTTTCGATACAGTGGTGGCCATGTTTCTGTCCATGACCCAATATTCATCGTCGTGATCACGTTGCTGATTGTAAGCGCTTTGCCGCTGCCCAAAACAGCTAATTACCTCATCGGTAAATGCCACTGCCGACTTTCATTATAATTTTCTCCAAATAGTCACCCTAAAGCTCTCCGTTTGAGTCTTGCCCACTGTTCATCTCTACCCGATATCTATAGTCCAAAATGGTAGCATAAAACCTAGCTAGTTTAAAGATACCCTGGACAGAGCGTGTTGACAGGTTTGTGAATTTTTCGTCTGGTCCGAGGATCGTGATGTCTTCTGTAGCAGATGTTGGGTAGGCGTAGTAGATCTTGTGCTTATGACCGACGATCGTAAGGGCGGGTTCGAGGAGGGCTGTAACGGAGGGATTGTCTTCACTGATATTGGGATTTTGAACCTCGTTCGAACTATGACCGACTCCGGAAGCAATAACAGATTCGCTTTTTGATTCTGGAATTCCAATAAAAGCGCTCCTCGCTAACTCTATCTTTTTTCGTAAACTCGCCGCTATCCAGATGCCCATTTGCAGTTCTGCCTCTTTCTGGTTACCGTTCTTAGGTTTTACCTTAATCTCCGAAAAGAGGACAGCACGCGAGGTGAAATTATCCGTTGTATGGGAAACATGTATTGCGCTGGCTCCTTCTACCTCTTCGTATAGTGCACGGAAATGCGGGTCGAGATACGAGTAAGAGAAGCAAAAATCGGTCTTGCGAAAGAGATGGCGTTTCTTGCTCGGTGTAGAGGGGTCCGGTATGCGAGAGAGGTAGAGCGGGTTTATGCTTTGGGATTGCCTGCAAGGTTAGCGACGAAGGCACATAGGAGAATTAGACTTACACGCTCTTAGGCCTCTATTTGTCCCCGCCGTGAAGCTTAATAGCAAGCTCGAGAAGTGGCTAGACAACGCTAAAGCACTATGCGCTCTCGTCTCTTCTAAATTGTGTGCAAAGAGTGGCACCCTAGAATATCTTCTTTACTTGTTGCAGTGTGTCGGCGAGCGCGAAGTCGGCTAGCGTACGCTTATCTGCGTGATCGAATACCTCTTCGTTAATAGACTCTATAGATATTAACTGTTTCTAAAGCTCTTTATATTAATTAGTGCGTTAAGTAATTAAGTGTTACAATATTTGCGGGCCTATACTGTCTTCTTTACGTAAACTTATATAGCAGGTAGCCTTGTGCGATAATAGGTGTTGCATTAAGTTGCTCTAGACTAGCGCTTACGCTCTTAATACACGCTATTCTACTTAGCTTAAAGCCTAGACTTCTTCGTTACAAAGAGTTATTCTACGAAGTTAATATTAGCTATAAGAAGCAGAGTAGTAACAAGGCGTACTACGCTTTTCCCGAAGCGTCTTAGCTTATCGCGAGGTTAACGCTCTATTCGGAATTAGAATAGAAAATTAATCTCTACCTGCGTTATAGTATTTGTGTTACTCTACCTATTTTTCTTTCTAGAATTTATTTAAGATAAAAAGACATTATATTATATATTTTCTTCTTTAGTAGCCTTTAAAGACTAGACTAGGTCTACTATATTTATACGTAAGATAGACTAGGTTGTAAGATAGGCTATCTAACTAAAATAGCTACCTACACAAAACGCGCTATAACTCTATAACTATAGAGTCTATTAAGAAAGTAATTAAAGAAATTAAATTACGTAAAGAAGGTATATTTTTTAGCTATTATAAAGTTATAAAATAATATAATATAAGCTATATAACGCTTACTAGAAGATACTAAGACCTTTTATAGCTAAATAATATCTTACACCTTATACTATACTTAAAACAAGAGAAGAAGCTTATAAAGTATATTAAAAGGCTCTCTAAGAGATATTTACTATCTATAAAAATAATAGTATATAATTTTATATTATCTTTAGCTAGAAAAGAGGTTTTAGAACTATAGGTTACTTACTTTTTAAGTAGATACGTAGCTAACTATCTTATTACGCGTTAGACTACTAGAATAGACTATAAACATTATAAAGCTAACTTAGAGGCTAAGTATAGCTTATACTTTAAGCTTCTATACGCTAAAATAAAGAAGTATAAAGTATAATCTACTTAGATCTATAATATAGATAAAAAGAGGTTTTAAATTAGATACCTTAGGCGTTTAAAACGCGTATTTAATAAGATATTTTATAATTAAAAAGAGATTAGAGTAGCTCTTTAAAATAGTAATACTTAATAGATTACTATATTAGTATATATTTACGCTAATAGTATAGCCTTAAGTCTATCTCTTATCTTTTAATTAGACGCTAGAACTCTATAAGCTTTATAAGTTAACACTATTTATACTAAAAAGTACTTAGTCTTTATAGCGTCTTCTCTAATAGACTAGATAAATAATAATATAGAGGTTATCTAGCTTAAAAAGATATTTATAAAAGAAATAAGGCGTTTAGAAGTTAATAAGTACTAATTACTTATTCTTAATAGCTATAGATTTTATATTACTATAGACTTTATAAACTTCTATAATAATAATAGAATTCTTCTTACTATCTTTCTCTTTTACGCTATCTATACGCTTTAATCTCTAGATATATTATTATTTAAACCTCTTTTAGACGCCTACTTAAATAAGCTTATAAAGTACTTTTAGAATAGCTAGAGGCTACTTCTAATAGTAAAAGAAGACTTCTTTTACCTCTTTTAGAATACTTAGTATACTACTTTTAAGTCTTAAATAATTATAAAGTTCTTTAAAGCTATAAGTATTTACCTTTCTAATACTAATATTATACTTAAAAGATTTGCTAAAGAGAGCTATAGTTTTATTATAGTAACTACTATAGTTTCTCTAATACCTAAACGCGTAGATTTTAGGTAACTTACTAGATTACCTAAAATCTATTAATTAGCTAGCTAAGGCCTAAGCGCTGCGCATAGCTTTAGCTATATTTTTTACTACTTCTATATTCTACTCTATTCTTTACGTAATGTCTTATATTATACTAGATATTATATATAGCTATAATTAATGCTTTTAGTAAGCTTCTAAATACGTGCTTATAGCGTTTTATAATAAGTTTAGATAATAGCTTATCTTTATACTTTTTTAGAGATAACTAGATTAAAATAAAGAGTATAATATAATATTAGATAAAAGATTAATATAATTAAAAGGTTAAAAAGCTTTGCTAAAGTCTCTATTATATTACTACTTAGGTAAGCTTTCTTAGGTATAAAGTAAGAGGCCTTTAGTAGGCTATAGATATTAGAAAAAAGTAGAAAAAAAAGTTCTATACTCTATAACTTAATAAGCTTTATAAGTATAATAGTAGAGCTATCTTCTAGTTTTCTAAGAAGGTCTGTTAGGCTTAGAATAATAAAGTAGCTTAATAATAATAACTTTAACTTTAAAAAGTATAAAAAGTAAAGAGAGTAAAGAAGAAAAAGTAAATATAACTTAATAAGCTTTAGAAGGCTAAATAAAAGCGTATTAAGAAAGAGAGGCTTAAGAAGATAAAAGAGAAGAAGTAAAAGAAAGAGTAAACTAAAAAAGAGTATTAAAAAGTACTTTATAACTCTTAAAATACTATATAAAAGTTCTAAAATAGTAAGTATAAAGTCTTATAAAGCTTCTTTTAAAAGTAGAAGTATTAAAAAGAGGTTAGTAATACTATATAACGTGTATAAGCTAAAGTAGCTATACCTATTATTCTAACTTAAATAACCTACTAGAGCTACACTACTAAGGTACTAAGTAAATATAAGTAGTATAAGTTTATTATAATAATATAATTACTATAACCTTACAAAATCTTATAATAGTAGCTATTATAGGTAGCTCTACAGCCTTATTTGTGCGATCGTCTTATGTTGTTAGAGTAGCCTATCTCACGACCCGGCCCATCTCGCGCACAGACACAGTAGTCCCTCACTGCCCCACCTTAACCCCTGAAAGGTGCTTTTTCGCTACACGCCGTGTCTCGTCCGGGTCAATCTCCAGGTCTCCGCACCGGCGTTCTATCAATGAGTCCAGTTGTTGTATCAGTGCATCGTATCGACACATTGGATCCAGTAAGCTCTCGACTGCTAGTAGCAACATATTCTCCACGATCCCGACAATAGCTTCCGGAATCTGATCGCTGTCGTACTCCAACCTTATCGAAAGCCGGTCTGCTACGATATGCCATTCGAAAAGTAGTCCAAATTTGGAACCCTCGGTCCAAACATGTTGTGGCTGTGCTCCCGCGACAGGAAAAATAGACCTGTCCGTCGTGCGATTATCGTGGAAGGTAACAACGCAGTCGAAAAGCTGCTGACGGCGTGAAGGGAAGGGCAGACCGAGGTGTTCGAGCAGCTGGGGCCATAGTATGGGGTGGGAAAGCGAGGCTTGGGATGCGCATTGCACCGTGCGTAGTACATCCAGGGATGTCATCGCGTTCTCTGCTTTGACGCGGACCGGCAGGGCTTGTAAGTAGAGGCCGAATACACGCTGGTCTTCCACGGAACTGCGATTGATGTATGGGCTGCCCAGTATCATGTCGGTCTGTTCGCAGAGGGAATGCAGAACTGCGCCCGTGGCAGCAAGACCGAATTGGTGAAGCGTGAGGCCACTGGTTTCCGTCAAAGTTATGATGCCTCGGGCGAGCCTCAGGGGGACAGGTACCAGTAGAGATGTACCCCTGTAAGACTTGTGCCAGGTGTAATCTTCAGGGCCGCGTCGGATTTCAAGGCCTCGAAGGTACGTTGACCAGAAGAAAGCTGTCTCACGATCGAGCGGCTGGCCCCACGTCTTTGAGTCGAAATACTCGAACCGGACAGCTGGTGATTTTCCACCATTGTAAAGTGTGGACACATCGGATAGAAAGCCGTTCAGAGCAGTCAAGTCGCATATGATGTGGGAAACGCTAATGGCAAGTGTCGAAGCGGACAGTGCTACTCGGACCAAGGTATCGTTGGTGAGATCAAAGGGACGATTGACGAACTCGAACGTATTAATCGTTTCGACCAACTGAACCTCAATAGGTTCATCTAAGAGGATGCGTTTGGCACCGCCGTCTGCAGTTGGAATAAAACGAGATCGTAAAATGCGGTGTTGAGCCATGACTGAGTTGAGAGAATGTTGGAGGCGAACCAGGTCGACTTCAGGTTGCAGCTTTGCTACCCAGGGGACATTGAAGGCACTCTGGCTTTCGGACTCGCGGTACCGATACCACCATTCCAGTTCAGCTGGCGACAACGCACTGGTTCCCAGTCGTTCGACGACGACTTCTTTCTTCGACTGGGTCCTCCAGTGATGCATCCGCTTTTGAACAACAGCCGCCATATCAGCAAGTACCGGGGCGCGAATGATGTCTCTGATAGCAATAGGCATGTTGCACGCAATGCGTAGGCGCGCAGCTAGATCCAACTGCAATACTGAATGGCCACCCAATGCGATGAAGTTGTCCCTGGGCATCAACTTGATCGTACTGTCCAGGCCTAGCAGGCTTCGCCACTCGCGCGCGATCAAAGATTCGAAGCTGGATAGGCCTTGGTCTGGGCCCATTGCAGTGCACGGCTGTTCGAAGACAATATCTTGCTGCGCCAAGGCTTTGGCATCAAGCTTCCCGTTTTTCGACAGCGGCAGCTGAGCCCTGGCGACAATCTGTTTGGGCTGCGCATGATGGGGAAGCACTGAACGTAGTCGGTGGGCCAATTCCTGGGTATTCAGAGTCTCGGGTTCTACCCATAAGACGAGCTTTCCTTTGTGCTCTGTCGCTATGGCCTTGCGTACGTCTGCCATCTCACGGACAGCAATAGCGCCAACATCGTCAAGGTTCACACGGAACCCACGCATCTTGATCTGCCTGTCTTTCCTGCCACACACATGGACGTTGCCTGCGGAATCCCAGAAGCCCAGATCACCGGTGCGGTACATTCGTTCCTGGTCGCTAGGAGAAGGGCAAAACGAGTCAGGCAAGAACTCGCGTGCATTTTGCTCGACCAGGTCGCGATTGATGTAGCCCCGGCTGACTTGCACACCGGCAATGAAGATGTTGCCAAGAACACCCGGAGGCGAAAGCTGCATGCAATCGTCGAGGATGTAGAGGCGCATGGATGGTACCGGAGGGCCGACATTGACAGGCACGTGTGCCTGCAGCTTTTGCTGACATGATCCTATCGTGCCCTGCGCCGAACGTGTCAGTAAGTGTTGCTGGTAAAAAAGACAAGACGGAGTCGAAAGAAAAAGAGCCCGTACCTCTGTTGGACCATAGAGGTTGTACACTACTCGGTTGACTGCCCACTTGTCCAAAGTCGGTTGCTGCACGGGCTCGCCGCAAAAGTACAACTGGAGAATTGTTAAATGAATGCTTCAACAACAGCACTGCGAGACATACATATTGAAGGTTTGGAAATTCGGCCGGGTCGAGACCTGCGGCGACAGAGGGTGTCATCATCGCCACGTCGGCACGTGCCAGGTGGGCGAAGGGGTCATCATTCTCCGTCCTCAACACCAATGTCGCGCCGTAGCACATAGAGGCAAAAACTTCATGCACGCATCCATCGAAGCCAGGAGAGAGGAACTGAGCAATGCGCACCCCTGGCGCGCTGTTGAGTCGCACATCAAGGTCGGCATGGAACGCAGTGACGGCGCCATGGACACATGCTACGCCTGCAAGCCGTCAGTTAGCATATGCGACAGAAGCGGGAGCATCTATAGTGAGGAGACGTACCTTTGGGTTTACCAGTAGACCCCGATGTGAAGCAGAGGAATGCGGCGTCATGGACGCTAGGCGCCCTGGTCGTCACGTGTCGATGACGTGGCGTTTCATCTGCCAAGAGAGCATTGATGTCGAGCATTGGAACGCCGTTTGCTGTTGGCGCATCGACCAACTGTGACATCTCAGTACACAGCAACAACTTCGCGCCACTGCTTCTCAGCAGCTCGCCGCGATATTCCGGTGTGTGCGAGGCGTCGAGAGGACAATAGACTGCACCAGCCTTGAGTGCTGCGCATACGCCCACAATCCAGTTGATCGAGCGGTCTGCTACAACACACACGACGTCGCCCGGCTTGACAAACTCCTCGGTGACAGCTGCTACACGTCCCGCACGCGTCATCAGCTCTGCATAGCTCAGCTGGACGTCTCCCTTCTCTACAGCGACACGTGCAGCGTTGGCCTGCGCTGCATTCTCAATGCAACTCGTTACTGTCGGCCCAGTTGCACGGACGTAAGAAAGAGGAGAATGGCCGTTGCCGCGAGCCAGCAGCATGCGCGACGTCGCTGCATCGAGGCGCGCCCTTAAGGATCCGTCGACGGTGAGGTCTGGACGCGTCAAACTGTGCAAGAGGTTGTGGTATAGACTCGCGATCTGACGCACGTGCTCGTTGCTAAAGCTGTTGCAACGATACACGAATCGTACCCGCCCATCTCCCTCGACCAGGACATTGAGCGGCAGTGCCGGAGACTCGGCGACGACTGGCGGCTGGACTGCCTCGATTCCTGCTGGCTCAAGCGCGGGCGAGTCATACTGGATCGCCAGAGCCGACGAGAAACGCAACGGCTCCCCTCTGCGCTCAGATGCCTGAAATCTGGATAGAGAACGCACCGCGTCGTGTGTCTGCTGCAGGAATGCATCGGTTGATGCGCGTCTGTCAATAGCCATACGTAGTGGTTGTGTCGCTATGAGTGGGCCGATGATGCTCTCTGCTCCTTGGAACCCCAGAGTCCGGGCGGAAAGAACAGCCCCAAAAAGCACTGTTGCGGCGTTCGTGTAACTGGAAAGTACGAGTGCCCATGCTGCGTAGTGGAATGTCGCGGCCGTCGATCTTCCCGCATGGCAGAGCTTCGCGAGCGATGTACTACTCAGCCCTGTCTGTACGGTGTATTCAGCGGTCGTGTCGGGCTCAACCGTTGGTAGCTTCGGGAGCAACATGTCACCAATGGCATCGCCAAAGTCCCGATCCTGCTGTTTCCAGAAGGCAGCCGCTTCAGCATACGTGTGTGCTGCATTCTCTCGGATCTTGTCCGCTGCAACGGTGAAAGGCGGTGACGGATCGACTGGAATGTTTCGAGTAGCAGCAGCGACCTTGTTGAGGATAAGTGAAGCGGAAAAGCCGTCTACCAGAGCGTGGTGTATGGAGAATATGACAACGCTCTGGTCGCAAGGCAGCAAAGCGCCTCGGTGGTGCAAGATAGCAAACGAGGCACCTAAGCCAGTGGCCGCTGCCATTTGCTTGGTCCTCTGCTCAATCTCATGGATTGTCTCGACATCAAACTCTGTCCAGCGCACTCTTGCTTCTTTGCCGATGCGCTGTGTGTGGGTATTGATGTCCAGCTCCATCCGGAATATGGGCTCCACTGAGATCACGGCATCCCAAGCCTGTCGCAGATGCTGTATGTCCTTGCTCTCATACGTGGCAATGTGTTGCACCACATTCGCAGTCTTTTGATGCATGCTGTCGTAGATGAGCATCTTTTGCAACGCTGTGAGGGGTGCCACTGAGGCTATTACAGCTGCAGGTTCCGCATCTACCGGTGTACGAGCTGCGCAGCTGTAAATCTGGAGCAAATCCTTGATTGTGGGCGACCCGAGCAAGTCTTCCATGGGTATAGCAAACCCTTGCTTCCGACAGTGCGAGCAGAGCATGATGGCTGCTATAGAATGAAGTCCCTGGCTAACAAAAGACTGGTTCAGGTCGATCGTAGACACCGGTATGTCAAGTATGCGTGCCATTCCACCAATTATGGTAGATTCCAAACTACCAGCATCTTCCACATCCTCTCGGGTATCCGATATGATGGCCCTCAAGATCTCGGCCAACTTTCGAGGGTCAACCTTGCCATTTGGCGTCATCGGGAGCGACTCAAGCCCTACCATATGGTCTGGCACGAGATAGGGGGGAACTCTAGCTCTCCATCGTGACTTTAGCTCGGCGACGTTGTGAGGTACTGGTGTCAGGGCAGTGTATAATTTGCCATATACCTGGACTGAATACGCCACTGTGATCTTGGGATCCATGGTCGGTAACGCTGCATCGATATCCAGCTCAAGGTTGACAAGGAATCCTCGGATCTTGACGGTTCGATCGTGCCTACCACAAAACTCGACCACTCTTTCGCCGGATGCATTGATATACCATCTCGCACGGTCGCCTGTACTGTATGTGCGCTGGCCCTTGTACAAGAAGAACTTCTCACCTGTCTTTGGTTTGTCCCGCCAGTAGCCCCTGGCCAGTCCAGTCCCGGAAATCAACAGTTCTCCCTCTTCCCCAACAGCCTGGATCTCGCTCCTCGAATCATCCACTATCAGCACTCTAGCACCATGGATAGGACTCCCTAGTACTGATGGCTTGAACTCCCCAGTCTGAGGGCAGACCTCGACACGCGTAGTCAGGGTCGCGCAGGTTGCTTCTGTAGGTCCATATGCAATCCATATCGGCCGCTGCAAAATGCTCCAGGAGGCCAACAGCTTTTTCGAGGCTGTCTCTCCACCCAAGATGATTCTGTCGAGCCTTGGATAGTCGTGCAATGATTGCGGTGGCTCTAGAACCTCCAGTATCGATGGTGTCATGACAAGCACGCTACACTGGTGACTTCGATGTTGAACTGTCGACTGGGTCGCCAAAAGCACTGTTCCACCATTGCAAATGGTGTTGAACAGAGTTCCCATGCAAGCTGGACCACAGTCAGTCTGGTTCGCGTACAAATGCAATCACATTCTGCATACCATCAAAAGCAACAGAGAGCACCAGCAACACTCTGTCTTCAGGAGTGATGTCGTAGTTGAAATGCGGCGCGGATACGAAAATGGCTAACGAGGAATGTGGAATTTCCACACCCTTTGGCTTTCCAGTCGTTCCAGATGTGAAGATGATAGCCGCTAGCTCTGGAAGTGGAACCATAGCTCGATCATCGGCACCGCAATCGACATCAATGTCCTCAGCATTGATCATCACCACTCCCGGGATGCCAATGTCCACTCCGGTATAGACGACGATCTGGGCATCTGTCGTTAGCAGCACATCCTCGATTCGTTCTCTCGGCCATTGGTCGCGATCTATCGGTGTGTATATCGCACCAATCTTGAGAATGGCTAGTATACCGAGGACCATATGCAGACAGGAATTGGTAAGAAGCGGAATCACCTGCCCATCGTGCGCTCCACTCTCCTCCAGTCGTTTCGCCAAGCAAGACGAAAGTTTATCCAGGGCGCGGTAGGTAATCGTTTCCGACCCATCCTGAACAGCTATGTTATCAGGAAAGTTTTCGCAGACGGTTCGAAAGAGATCTAGGACGGAAGGCTGATACTCGTGAGTCATGGTGGTGGAGTACAACAGAGGTAAAATGCAGCTAACATTTCTGCGCAGACAGAACGTTTGTTTTATGTGACGTGAAATTACTCGCGTTGTTTTCTTGACAAAGCTGTGTCTCGGATGCCACCACCTCCGCATAGCAGAGACCTTGTCGGTCACCGACGGCATGTGATTGAAATAATGTGCCAGATTGGAGAGCGCATTCCTCCTGTACGAGGCAACGTACGATATCTTCTTTGCACAAAGTGTCCTGTCGAACATCTTGATCCAAAATCGGCCACGGCATTCCTGGAAAGTCTTGTCATTATCAAACTACTTTATTTTCACCATGGCGCTTTCTCAAAGAATGCATGGCACCGTCGAGAGCGTGATGCCAAAGATCCTGACTCAAGTCACTCAACGAAGCTCTAGCGACCCACCCATAGATCTCGGCACGGCAGAGAATTGGTTGATACGACAAGAGCTAGTAGACTTCTTCAAAGAGAGCATTGCAAAGGATCTGGTCAAACAGGTATGTGAACCGCACTTCCCAGCTTTCTTATGAAAGATGATGTTTCTTACAATTAGTCAAGGATCTGTCATACCAAAAAGGATTTGCTGGGGGTCCACGCGTCATAGCTACACTGGCGGAGACTTTCAACAGGCTCTTCTCGCCCCATATTCCTGTAGAGCCTGCCCATGTAGTTGTCGGTCCAGGCGGGGCAGCCATCCTCGAGTCACTCTTACTCAACATTTGCGACACTGGAGATCAGATGCTAGTCTTAGCCCCATTTTGGAGTAAGAAATACCCGATATCTACCACAAACGAACTGTTTTGTCTGACATAATCGCAGGCGGATTCCATTTTCAGTTCGACGTCGGCCCTAAAGTGAAAATCATTCCAGTCACTTCCCTCAACGAAAATGCGCTGAACGAGAATGTCATCCACGACTTGGAGAAGGCCTTTGCGGATGCCGATCCCAAGCCAAAAGGGCTTGTGTTATGCAACCCACACAATCCTCTAGGCCAATGCTATACTCAGAGCGCACTGGAAGCGATGTGCAAATTCTGCGAGAAGCACGACCTGCATCTCATTTCAGACGAGATATACGCTTTGTCGACGTACGAGTCGGCGGATGTGCCGCATCCGACGCCATTCGTGTCGCTCCTGAGCCTGGATCTTGACGCGCTACAAGTCAATCCAGCGAGGGCGCACGTGATTTGGAGTGTGAGCAAAGATTTTGGATGCAGTGGGTTTCGACTTGTAAGACAACTCATCCATATTTTCCAATGAAATGCTCTAATAGGCATTGCGATAGGGCGCGCTTGTAAGCCAGGGTAGTCCTGCGATGACCTGCGGTGTAGCGATGGCTGCCAACACACAGGTTTCTGGTCTCACAGCCGTTGCTGTCTCCTCTTTACTCTCTGAACCTGAGACGACGGACAAGTTCATTCAGTTAAACCGGAAGAGACTCGCCTACGCGTACGAGATTATGGCGTCATTTCTACGCGGCCTCAACGCCCGATACGTGCCAGCCTATGCAGGTATCTACGTCTGGGCGAAGTTGTCCGAGAAGGTACAATCATGGGACCAGGAGGCTCAGTTGACGAAGACCATAGCCGATGGTGGCGTTGCTGTCAGTTCTGGGAAGAGTTATGCGGCCCGAGAGCCTGGCTGGTACCGACTTTCTTTCGCGCTTGAACCGGACAAGTTGCAGGAGGGACTGAGAAGACTGGCATGTGGCATAAGTTCTTTTGAGAAGCGATTGTAGAGGATGCATGTATGTGTGAACAGCGAACATGGGTCTCATAAGAGCAAAAGTCCTACAGGAGAAAGTGTCTTGATCAAGAATATGGTAAGATGAGATCAACTACGTCGCTGTTTCAGAGCCAAGCCTGGCAGCAAAATGATCAGGCATCATACAGCATCATGTCCGTCCCGTCTCCTCTCCCCCAGATCGGCGCGTGCACGCAATCGTGCCATGCCCACATAACATACACAACAAATCTGACAACCTGACCAACGCCCGCTGGCGCGTTTCCATCCGGTCTCAAGCTCGCCAAAGCCATCTTCTCGACTAGGAGCATGACCGGGTGCCACAATGCGAGAAACAGCATTGCGCCGATTTTGCGGCGCAAATCCCGTGCAGGCTCATATTTCGGAATACGGTCAAGGTACTGGCGGTACTCTTCAGGAAGCCTAGCGTCCGATGCACCATCCGTGAGAAGTTTCTAGACAGAAATCATACTTAGCATAGTCGAAGTGTGCGAGTACTGAAAGGACTAGAAGACGTACCATATATCTTGCACTAGGGCTGGACCCTGGCGTCCGCCTCAAGATTGTGCCCAGAGTCCTCACGACAAATCTCTCTCCTGTGATTCCCTGATCCTCACTCGTCACCAAAGAAGCCGATACCGCAATATCTGCATAAGCGATCCCACCCCCCTCCGACGCAACAAGATGTACGTACTGCTCGGCAGTAATAAGATAGGCCACCCCGATGACTTCGCGGGCCTTGGGATCGTCAACGCCGGTAATTGGACGAATCGATGTGTACGCAGGTTCCGAATACGGTGTGCCTGGGATTTCTGTCGTAAGAGTCCAGCCGGGAATCTTTGCGCGTACGATTTTGATTGGATGGATTCCACGGGAACCGGTAAATTTCGAGCGACTCATGTTGGAGCCGTAGGCAAAATACCAGACGAGAGTATTCGCGGCCATGATTGCAGAAAGGGTGCTAGGTAGATTGACGAGTTAGTGGCAAGTCCAATGGTTGTTATGTTTAGTGTTCGATGTTGTCGGTACCCGAGATCAGCTGTGGTGCATGGGTACATGGGTACCTGGTCTCTGGGATCCATGTCTGACCTGCTGACTACGAGATTCGGGGATTATCTCATGCCGAAACGAACCTGCATGATCTAGCCGGCATATATGACAAACCGGATAGATACCACTAGAGGAGTATTCCTTCCGTGCACAATACTGGGGAGTAAGGATGTGTGTTCAATCGCGATCGAAGCGGTGTCGAATTCAGAGTCGTCGTAGCCCTTCGGGCCTATTGAACACCGCCTTAGTGCTGATAGCGCGCCCTTCTGATCGTGTTCGTGGAACCCGGCTGTCAGTTCCGAGCGAAGCATTGCCACTAGCTGGCGGATAGAGAGAAGGCAGATACCTAGCACACGCGTCAGACTTCCAGTTTAGTCAGCTTGAAACGCAACGATAATCTTGAAAAGTAGAAACGAAGATCTGTTACCACATCTTACCAAGGGCAACTATTGGTCTGGGACGATGAAGATCGGCAATCACATGAAAGCCATGACAGAACGTTTTCACCATTTCAATTCAGTATATTTGCTAAATTCGACGATTCCTCGTCTGACTGCATCGGGCGAGATGTCATTTACTTTGCTGAACTTGCATTGCAGCGCCATTCGCCGCAAAAAGTCCCATCGAGATGCCGCCCGCCACCACTTTGAAAGGGCTAGCACAATCTCCTGCAGCAAAAACACCGGGTACCGTGGTTTCGTTGAAAGGTGGGTTCACCTTCAGATCCAACGCGGGGGTTAGCTCCACCCCGAGCTGATCCGCCCACGGGCCGTTTAGCCTACTCCGCGGCTTATGGGCGATGAAGCCAAACACCTCCTTGGCTCCATCTTCAAATTCAATCTCCACGTCAGCAGTCTCTCCAGGCACCTTGGTGAACCGGGCAATCCGTCTCGAATCAACGACCAGCCCCTTCTCTGTGCAGGCTGCTTGTATCTCCTGCGATAGGGCTGTGTTGCCATGAGTCAGCACGACAACCTTCTTGGCTAGTCGCTGGGCCATGCAGCCCACTGCAGTTGAATGCATCATGTCTGCCATGTCTTCGACAGCAAGTATGCCGGCCTGGGCAGCGCCGCGCTCTTCATATCCATGGCAGAACAGGCAATGGTAGCTGCAGGCGTGGCCATGTCAGTTTGAGAAGATGGGGAAACAGGGCTGGTGGCTTGGAACTCACATTCCACGGCCCCAGCAATCATCGTAGCCGGTGATGTCTGGATACAAGTCTTCGACGCCGGTCGCCAGCACGACCTTCTTTCCTTTGTATGTTGTTCCATCGCTGACTGAGGCTTCGAAGCTGCCATCCGCCAATTTTGTGAGCTTTTCAACCTTGGAGTGCACAAAACTCGTAGTTTTGTATCTCCCAGTGAGATCTTTGCGTGCCGCTTCGCGGAATTCCTCAGGATTCTTGTGATCCCACGTTGGGACGTTGTGCATGTGGGGCGCACGTGAGTTGCGGTATACTCCGTGGTCGAATATGATGCAGGGGTGCATTAATCTGCTCAGAGCGGTGGCCGCGGAAAGGCCAGCGGGCCCGCCACCAACGATAAGCACATCGACAGTAGACATGGTGGGAAGGTGATGTAGTAAACGATGTGTTGTAGGGATCAGATGGAAGAATGGTCGGAATAATTGAAGCATTAGAAGTAGCTTTATCTTTAATCGCTTGCTGGGAAAGGAATGGGCTGGGATTAAAGTGTTGAGGGGTTCGCGTCGGTTACCGACATGCAATATAAAGCGCCGACCACGTACGGCAGGAGCTAGGTGATATGCAGGAGCAAGAAAGTCAAGACCAGCATTGTGAACATGGAAGACAACATGTACCATCTCCGCGTAGCGACGCGAGTTGATCTACCACAACTGATCAAGCTAGTCGCCGAGCCATTCAGCAGCGGTTCACTCGATACGGCAGGTCTGACTTTTAGCAAAGACGAGATCACCGCCTATCTTGGATGGCGTCTGCCCCGTTTGTTATTGGATAAGAGGTCGCTGGTACTTGCTCTCGAGTTCCGTCCTGTCAACTCGTTCAAAAAGGTGCCTGGTCGCATTATTGGCTGTGCCATCTTGTGCCTCGGCGCTTCTACATCTCGACCATATTCAGCCGAGCCTTCATGTAACACTTCCCTCTGCATCCTCTCAAAATACCGTTCTGACTCCGATAACAGACACCGACCTCTCGTTGCTGAAGTTGCGCTCTGCGCTGTCTGACTTCACGGTATGGCCAGATACGCAGACAGCGGAGGTCCACACCCGATTCGAAGCTGTCCAAAACGCTATCGAGACGTCGGTGGGTGAGGATGCGACAACCCTTGTCTTTTATTACGTAAACCCCGAGTTTCATGGTTGCGGGGTTGGATCAAAGATGTTAGCAGAGGTGCGCAACCACATTGAGCAAGGTGCTGGAAGTGTGCCTTTTTCTGCTGTTTTTCGTGGTGAAGACGTTAGTTTTGGTACAACTTCAGGGTTCAGACATAAGGCCAATGCTGGGAAGCTGGAGATACTCGAGCCTGTTTTTTGAATAAGTTTTCTCGTCGGTAGCCGTCGGCACGGGTCGAATTTGTTAAATTGGTACCGTAATTCTCGTCCAAGAACATAGCAGGATCATACTATCACTTGCAAACTCCTTCGTTCAATATCAAAGATGCTTCCATCCGTACTGGTGCTTCCTCCCTTGGATGAGCGTATTCCCATGCCGGGGTATTTCATTCCTTCCTTCTACCTGGTTCTAATCGGCTCTATTATAATACGTCCACACGGCCTGCGCAGTACCATTATTACAGCCATTGCTCTAGCTTACCTATGGGGTTTTCCTCATATGACAGGAGGCATCGACTCCGACTGTCAGAACATGACAATGTTAATCACGTCCACATTGATGTGGATAGACTTCGGGGTCATAAGGAACTTCGAAAAGGATCTATACCGAACATGGGAGCGAGATATTCCCGTGGATGAACGATCGATCCTCAAACGACTAGCTTGGAGCTATGATCTTTGGACAACTTGGCGCGGTCCGGGATGGAACTGGCAGTCTAAGCGTTGTCCAAAGCTGCCTGATCACCTTTTGGACCGAAGGTATCTTCTCAAAGCGTCAACCAAGTGGAGAGTATGCTGATAAGTGTAGGAGTTTCCTGCTCGATAACCTCAAGCGTGGAGCGTATTGCTTTCTCATGAGTCAACTTCTGCTATCCCTTCTCGAGATAACGCCATACACCCGAATCGTCGAGCGCCACCACATCCAAAGCGCACCACTCCCCATCCAGATCTCCGTAATATGGATTGCCACGCTATACACACAGTACAACATGAGTTTCATGTATAGAGTGGTTACCTCCTTGCTTGTTGCATGCGGGGTCTGCGCGCCCTTACAGTGTCCGCCGCTTTTCGGCTCATTTGCCCAAATGTACACTGTCGGTAATGTGTGGTCGAAATGCTGGCAGCAGATGATGAGAAAGGTCGGGCCACAGACGCTTTGGTAGTTGTGAGAATCCGCCAGCTGACTTTGACCAGGCCATATTGATTGTGCCTAATCTAGTCGTGTCCACATCAGGTATTCACGGGGCGGCGGCAAAGTACTGTCGCTTGATCTTATCATTCGCTGTATCAGGAGTTATTCACTCAATTGGTGCGTTCAGCGGCACGCGGCGCTCTCTCGGCGATATGCGCATGTTTTTATCGCAAGCCGTCATTATTATCGCGGAGGACTTTGCGATCTCATTGGGAACGCGACTTGGGATCAGGAAATCAAGTATGTCGTTTGAACACAGGCTCACCAAGTTACAAACTGACACATGGAATGATAGATTGGACGGTCGCTCTCGGGTTTCTTTGGACTATTGGATGGTTCAGCTTCTGCCTAAGGCCTTGGATTGGAGCAATGCTCTGGGCAGGTATGCTAGCATCGAATGGGAACAGCAGCATGGTATCAAGGATCTTTGGCCATTTTCAGTAGAGATGCATCGCACAGGCATATGTTTTCTACTTGTGGGTTGGTAGCTATTGATATGCATCCTAATTGAACGATTCAAAGAGAAGGAAAGAATCAAGCTTCTATTCTTGCTTGACAATCTGATAGGCCGGGCCCGCTGTACCCACACTACCCGCATCAAGCTGCATCTGCAGGCCGCCAGCGACAAAGGCGCCCATTGCAACGGCAAAGGTACCAATCTTGAATGGATCTCCACAGTCTCCCGCTGCAAATATGCCAGGTACCGATGTCTCAAAGAAGGGATAGTTGGTCTTGTAGAAACCAAAATCATTCGTCTCCACACCCAATTGTTTCGCAAAAGCTCCGTTGTTCAACGGCAACGGTCTGTGGATGATGAATCCCTCCGTCGTCTTCTCGTCGTCCTCGAAGACTGCGGTAACCCGGGCTTGAATGGGCTCTTTGATAAAACGCGTAATTTTCCGAGAATCCACACGGAAACCGAGGGGACCGAGGGATTCGCGGCATTCTGCAGCGAGGGTCTCGTTTCCGTGGGTGTAAACGGTGACTGGACCAGATGTATATCGGCGGCACTGCAACGAGAGATGGCGAGCAGCCTTGAGGTTGTCATCACCGCCTGCAGCCAAAACTCCTGCCGACGCACAACCGCGCTCTTCATAACCACGATGCACAAGACAATGGAATCTTGTAAAGAGATTTAGTTCAGGATCCAAAACCGGTGAGACGAAAGCACTTACATTCCCTTGGCCCAGCAGTCATCGTAGCCCGGAACGTCAAGCGGCACATCCTGAATGCCCATGGCTAACACGAGCTTGCGTCCTCGCCATATCCGGCCCTTCGAGTCGGTGGCCGTGAAGGGAAATTCGGCTTCGGGGTCGCGATCAACATTGTCAATCACAACTCCGGTAGCAAATTGGACCGTGTTGTATTTAGACAGAATGTTCTGCCGAGCAGCAGCGCGGTATTCTTCCGGATCTCGGCCATCCCAGCCGGGAAGCGTGTGCAGCCAATTGGCTTTTTGGTTGCGGTACGTGCGGGAGTCGAATACGACGGCTGTGTGAAGGGAGCGCACCAGACTCAATGCGGTGCTCAGACCAGCAAGTCCACCTCCGATGATGAGAACGTCGAAGCTGTCTGTCATTTTTGGTGCTGTGGAAGTTGTTTTCGCAGAGCTATCCAGACTTGCAGGCCCTTTTGTGTCGTGGCTGGTAGCACCTCGGACAGCGACAACATCGGCCGTCGACATGTCTGTGTATCTGAGCATTTATCAAATGTATATCCTGTGTCGTCCGCAAATCCAAGCGATATCGTACACAATCCGACAATCTTTACACAACCAGACTATCTTGCCATCATGACTACCACAGCGACAATGCAGTTCATGGCCCCAATGGCTGAAGAGCCCTTTTATCGCTCTCAACCCGACAAAGGTTTCGAGTCGTGTAATTTTTCGTACAACGCCGAAAAGGTCCAGATCCACAACGCACGCCCAGCCAAAGATCGGTTTCAGCTTGACACGCACGGCTTCGCCTACGTAGACGATGCCGAAGGCGCAGCGTTCGTAGAGCAACTCCGCAAGAACGAGGACGGTGCCAAAGAGCGCTACTACGGGCATGTCGAGCGGCTGGTCAAGAAACACACTGGCGCCTCTCGGGTCGTCGTGTTCGACCATACCATGCGCCGCCGGGAGCCCTCGCTGGCCGGCAAGAACCCCGATGGCCGAGAACAGCCGGCAGCCTACGTGCACATCGACCAGTGAGTATCTCCGTGATTTGGCACCCATTTCGAGAGTCGGAGACTAATCAACGTTCTAGGGGTCCGGTGGGAGCTGCGCGGCGCGTGCATCAGCATCTCGACTACGAGTCAGACCGCTTACTCAAGAGTCGTGCGCAAATTATCAAGTACGTAAGCACCCGATTGCTAGGTAAAGAGGCGAGCATCGGCTAATGCGCGCCGATTAGCGTATGGAGACCCCTCAACGGCCCTGTGCAAGACTGGCCACTCGCTACTATGGACTTTGGTAGCCTAAGGCCGGAGAACTACCATCCCACGAATTTGTATCGCAACAGATTCGAGCTCCGTGGCCAGTCGTGCAACGTGTCGCACCGCGAGGATCAGCGCTGGTATTACCTTGATGCGCAACAGAACAGCGAGGTCACCTTTATCAAGATCTGGGACAACAAACCAGCAGTGACGGCGAAAGGCAAGTTTATGTCGCACTCGCATTCTTCACTCGCTTGTGAACGTTTGTTGAGTAAACAACGCTGACGTCCAGATGCAGCATGTGCTCATTGTGCCTTTGAGCATCCCGACACGCCCGAAGATGCCCCTTTGAGGGAAAGTATGGAAATCAGATGCCTTGTGTTTCATGAGGACGAGGGCCTAGCGTCGGCGCTTTGGTGGACGTGAAAAGTGCGGAGGAATAGAGTTTCTGGGCAGAGAGAGATTTATGTCGTGTATTTACAGGTGCAAGTGTGTACGCTAGGCCCCAGGCGGGCTAGCGCGCCGGTCCGCCTCGATCTCGATACAAACTTGCCAGGAACATTGATGAGAGCGCTTTTAGATCGAATCGATCGGGGAGGGTATTCGGACATGCTGTGAGCAGACTTGGTCAAATAGCATCGCAACTGAACTAGGTTTTCTCCCGTATCTTCAAGACTTGCAACACTTGTTGTTGTGAGGAAATGTGCTCGACTTGGCGATCACCACTTGCCTCAGGCTCAGCTTCGGTACTGAAGGTTTGCGGGGAAGCGTCTTGTGGAGCTTCATCCGATTGCTGTAGCATACCGTTATTCGTGTCAGCTTACTTTTGTGGTGCCGATATTCAAGCTTTTGTACAAAGAGCAGGACAAAGGGTTATTAGGGGGCTGAAGTGGATGCATCATAATTTTCTCTAGCTCGGTCACCGAGATGTGCTGTTCGAGGGCGGTGGTGTCTTCTTGATTGTGGCTAGCACCAGCCGCAGGTATACTGTATGCAGAGGTACCGAGTGGTGGCCGAACTCGGGTTTCCGCTGCAATCTACGACACCGGTGTATTTCTCCGCTCTGGCAACCTAATATCACTCACTAGCAACAGCTTGTCACACGCTGTGTTTGACATAAAAGAGATACATGGGAGCTGTTTCCTGCTGCTAAATCGAGCATCGGAAAGACAAAGGTATGCCTCTGTTTTCATTTATGCGGTATCCAGACATGAGCTAAAGCATCGTAGAAGTACGAGACCGAACCAGTACAGGAGAAATGGCAACGACGTACCCGGCCAATTGCAACTGCACGCTGTCAGCCATCCGCGTGCTAATGCGCATCGAGAAGCTGGGAGAGAGCAAAGTGGGGTTGGAGACGTACCTAGACGTGATGGAAGACGCGGAACATCGGTGTTATACAGTACTCAACTGCGGTGCGTGCCGTGGGCGCCGCTTCTCATTGGCTAGCGTCACTGTGGTTAGTGCGGCCGTGATCGAGTGGCTCCGTGGGGCGCAACTGGAACAGGGGCCCGACCACCACGTCTCTCTCGGAGACATTCGCCTCGAGCGGGCCGATGCTGAGATACTGAGCCGCGAGCTGATGAATCTGCAACTGACGCATTTCGCCCAAGTCATGGCTCGGCTCCAAAGCACCCTTTCCACCATCCCGTCGGCGCACACGGCCACGTACCAGGAACTCGCATGTGCCAAGCTGGAGGAGCTGCGGGAGTGCGAGAGGCAACTCCGGTCCTGCGAGCCTGATAAGGTGCAAACGTAGACCCTTGCTGGACGTGTGTTTCCGTGGTTGTACCGCTGCCGTACCGCCAGGCTAAGCGCAGTGCTGTATCAGCACAACAAGGGTGTAACGGCTGAATCAAAAGGTAGATAATGTAGTCTAATTCTATTCCGTGTCTCGCTACCATACCTGCGCCTTCTCAGTCATCCGGACGACGCGCCATTGTTCCTAGAGATTGCATCATGGCCAGCCAACGAAACACCTCGACTGCCCGCACGCCCAAGATTCGTCAGTCTTGTGATACCTGTCAAGCATCCAAGATTCGCTGCGGCCAGGAGAGGCCCTGCTGTCGCCGATGCGCCAAACACAGCATCGAGTGTGTGTACAGCGCATCCCGTCGTGCCGGTCGTCCTCGATCAAAGAGGACGGCAGACCCCACGACGCCCGCTTCGCTATCACCGAGCCAACCACAGTCGCCCCAACAACCGCAGACACTTCCGCCCACGCCCGATGAAGCGCTGCCGATCGAAGCTGGGTGTGAGATGCCCTTGGCCTTGCCGTTGCAGGAGACGACTGCGTCTATCCCAGAGGCTCCTCTACCAGATCGGGGGCAGGATCGCGATTCGGAACAGCGACGAAATCATGATGCAGCCTCAAAGAGCCCGCAGTACGATCCGGGTTGCAATCTGGAAATCAACAATTTTGCAGAGGACCACTGTCAAGCCGGCAACCACTATGACTTGGTTAGCAGCAATTTCGACAACGACACCACCTACCACAACGGCAACAGCGGTAATGAAAGCAACGACAACATCCCCATGATGCACAATGACCAAAGCAACCACTTCGCCCCAGATGTCGAAATGAGCCAATCGACAAACATGTTTGGCCAGCTCGGCTCGACCCACTTCCCCAACTTTTTCTTTTCCGAAAACGACCTGATGCACAATCACATGAACTTTGACGTTCACATGACTCCACTTCCCGATCCCGTGCCTGCCCCAGCCAAAACTTTTGCACCAGCCCCGCTGCCCTCACTCCAAGCTCCAGCCACAGCCACAGCCAAGCCCCAGCAAAGCTGCGAGTGCGCCTCCACGCTGCTGCAGCACCTAGGCGAGCTTTCGGCCACAGACTCAGGAGGCGGCAGCGGGTGCAGCGAGCGAGCCTTTTTTGCAGGTGCAGTGCAACGGTCACGAGTGCTGCTCGATCACTGCTTCACGGTGCTGTCATGCTCGTCGTGCAGCACGTGCATGTCGTCGACGCTGGTGCTCTGCCAGGCCATGGAAGAGCTAAGTGTAGCGCTGGGCATGGGCACCCTGTGGGTCGAAGGCAGCGCGTCGTGCGAGCAAGAGCGGTGCGTGCTGCTGCGGAACCTGGCCAAGGACGAAGTGCGCATGCGGTGTGGGAGCTATGCAGTGAGGGCAGTGGACCGGCAGGCGTTGCTGCGCACGCTCATGAAGAATAGGCTGGGCGAGATGCAACAGGCTGTGAGTAAGCTGTGTCAGGCGGTGGAGATGTTGTCGTCGGCGTCGTGTAGAGCGACGTGTGCGAGCATAGCGACGGAGTTGGAGAGGAGGCTGTCGGTTAAAGTAGATTTGTTTCGAGTGGGAAGCGTAGCAGCGCAGTCAACGCAATGAAAAACCAAAAAACCAAACAAGAAAATAGAATTGACACTGGGGCTATATAACCTCGGCCATATACTTTTCGGCCACATATACTTCTCGGCTACCTAATCAAAGCAGCCACACAATACAAAGTCGCGATTTTAGTTAATAACAACGATTATATTTGCTACTTAGTTTACATAGAATTAAGAGTACGTGCTACTACTACTTCTGCTACTTTTTAAGCCTTATTCTCTAGTAAAGTGCTTACCTGTTAAACCTGTTAAGTTACTACTTAGTTAATAGCAGCCTTAATACTCTTAACGTTACTAAACTACTAATTTAGATTAACTTAAAGTTGCTTTCTTACGCGTGTAACTATAGTACTATATAGTTAATATTTAAGTTATTAATTTTTAGCCTTAAGCTAAGCTACTCTAGTATTAGCTTCTAAAATAGCCTTACCTACCTTGCTAAGCACAAGCTAAGTGCTTTATAAGAGAGATTCTAATAACTCTAGCTATTTTTAAGCTTTATATAAGGCTTATAAGCTCTAAGGTATAGTAAATATTAACTCTAGAGTAGCTAACACTTAGCTAGTAGGTAGAGAAGTAACTAGTTAGCTAGTTACTTAGAATAATAGTAGTATAAGGCCTAGGTTGTATAGGTAGAGACTAGAAGACCTCTAACTAGCTTATATTATATAATCTAATAGAGCTTCTTCTCTTACCTTATTATATAATATAATAAAGCGCTTCTTCTTAATAGATACTATATTATTAAGAGTAGAGAGAGCTTAGATCTTATTATAGTACTATTATATAGAGTCTTACTATACTTCTCTAAGCTTAGTCTAGGTTAGAGTAAGATAGACTAGAGTAATAGTTCGCGTAGGTTGTCTAGCGATTTGTAGTAGAAAGAAGTTATTATAGTTAACTAAAAGAGTAAAGATAATCTAATTCTATAAATAATAGAATAACTAGTTAATAATCTATATAAGAAATAAACTATTTAAGTTAACTATAATAAGTATAATAATAAAACCTTTCTATTCTTATATTCTTATTACTCTATCTATTACTATTACTACTATTATAATATTATTATTACCTTGCCTAATGCTCTTAATAGTTACTATTACTTAGATACTACTATTGCATACTAGCGTCTAATAGTTAGTCTTAGCGTAATATTAATTACGTAATTCTACGCGCTTTACGCTAATCTTTTCTTTATAATATATATTCTTACTAACACTAATACTATATTTTTAGGTAGAGAGAGGCTTTTATTTATTACTTATAATAGTAAACTATAAACTCTAATTACTACTAAGTATGCGTATCTACTCTATCTTTTACAAAAAACTTCTAGAACTAGCACCTCTAGATACTAAGCTAGTAATAGATATAGAGCTTAAAGATAATAAGTATAAAGTTAAAGAAGTTAAAAACC